TGCAGAACACCTCTTAGGGGTTTCATAATACCATGATTGTGAGTTTTAGGCTATTTATTTACCTGTTAATGTTTATGAGTCTGTTAGGTGTTTCTTTGTCTGTATGAGTCTTCATGTTGAGGCCACTTGACCTTGAAGAAGGGAAATTTACTTGATCAAAGGTTATTCTAGTATACTTGGTAGATCTTTTTTGAGTCTTTCATTAGGAATTATGGCTTATAAATATCTGAGCATGGTATTTGCAATTGAGTATAGTCTTACAATAAAACTAATTTGTTTGAAAAGTAAGATGGTAAAGTTTGTTCTTCTAGGTGCCGTGTGTGCATTCCTTAATCTGCTAATAATTAAGTAGTATTTGAAGGCAAAAATTCATCTAAAATGAATTTGCTTTTTCAGTTCCCCCATTTTGTGAGTTTGTACATTTTCGAAGAGTAAGTTCATTGTTTGGGGTTTGTAATCTTGTTTACTGATTATTTAATTTTCCTTTTTTTTTTTTTTTTTTGGTACCAACTGCCTTTTGTGTTGATTCCAGTTCGGCATGTTGTCCCTTTTCTGAGTACTGCACTCTTATTTCCAATTATCAGAAATATCATTCCTACAAAATAGTATATGTATGTCTCAGCTAAAACTTTACTTTGATTATCACATATTAAAAACCTTGTGAAGTGTTTTCATTTTGATATTTAGCTTCGAGAATCATAAATAATCTGAGCGATGATCATGAGTACTTGCTTGGAGCACTTGGGAGTATTTTGATGAGCAAACTCATTCTGGATATTTGTGATACTGTTTTGGTTGGTGCTTGCTCTGGCTTCACTTTTAAGTTGGTCTGCCTAAGGGGTAGCTTTTCAAACCAATTTTTACTGTCAAGTAAATAGAAAAGTTCGGTCATTCAAATGTTTTTATGGCCAGTTACCTTGAATGGATTATGCAACACATTAAATAAGGGAGCCAACTTAGCATCACAATATCAACAAAAAGAAATTTTTTCTAGGTGTTCATTTCATGCCCATGACTCTTTCTCAAGTTTTTGCCTTGCAGTGCAATGATTGTGCAGTATGGGTACTTATTTGATACTAAATTAACTTTGAGAAACTTTTTTAAGATAAGAGTTAATGAAGAGGCTTTAATGGAAATAAATGACTTAATTGAAGGGTCAATTTTAGGGCTATCTATATCAATCTAACTATTAAAAATTGTAAAAGTAAATTCTAATCTTAGTGGAGCTAATAGTATTCCAAAACAATAATCTCTGGGAAGCCTTGAGGCTGAATAGAGGATTATGAAAGTTCTTTTGTTTTTTCAATTCAAATTTTGCTATAATTTTAGTCTTTATTACTCAGCTTTTACCTCAACATTTACTAGCCCTTGCATAGCCACTAGTTTCACACAAGGCTAACCAGTTGCATGTCTTACTTTAATTTTGTGAATTGTGCTGCCATAAGCCTAATAGTTATGGATTTACTTTGGCCAAACCATATGGCATGTGGTGACCAGAGGGCACTTTTTGGCTGAACCATATGTCATATTGACTCAATGATACTGACCATCTAAGGAAATCACAATGTAGAGATTTTCAATGTTTATGGTTTGCAGTTGCCCAGCAACCACATGGAGCAATCAGCAATGAGATAAGTAGCAGTTCAAAGGCATGGATCAAGGTCTGCCTTGGCTTTGTTTTTTCTTGTTGGGCCTCTTTTATTTCTGTGCTATGTTTTCTGTTTTGCTTGGTTCATAACCCTTGGAAAATCAGAAACATGCTTTATATGTTAATGTGGAACCTAAATGGTGATGGAAGGAGTGTGCTGCAAGGGTCAACCAACCTTGTGTTTTGACAGTATGGCTGTCCACAACGTCCAGAGTTTCAGAGTTTTGGATGGCCTGTACTTTGTAGGAACTTCCTAGCACTGTCAAAAGCAGAGGATGGATGTTAATCTTTTGGTTACCTTGTGCAGTTGGTCTGTACTCTCTGGGAACTTCCAAGCACTGTCAAATGCAAAGGTAGGATGTTAGTCTTTTGGCTACCTTGTTCAGTCTCTCTGCTTGCTGTTTTATTGCTTCTACACCTGTTCCACTCTTGGCTGCCATACGAAGGAGTCCAGAAACAGGAGTAAGGTCCTAAGCTAACAGTTTCCAGAGGTTGTGCCTCCTTGGCCGGTCACTTACCTTTTGCAGACTCTATTATCAGTTAGCTAGTTTTCCATATTGTTGCTGGTATTTAAACTTTATGCATTTTTATGTCGTGTTATAGCCTAACTGTCAAGTTTGTATTCATATATAGTATATACAGATGAATATGTTTCGGCCAAAAAAAATAAACTGCATGATAGATGTATGGCATTATAAAAATTTAGGCAAAACCATAGGTTAAGCCCCTGAACTAACCCCAGAATCGCTATTAAGCCCCAGACTTTAATTGATGCAGTTAAGCCCTTGAACTCTGGGATCAAAGCAAATAAGCCCTTCTTCTTACGCTATTAAGCGCCTAGACTTTAATTTTTAAAATAAATTGCTTAAGAAGAAGGGCTTAATTGCTTTGATCCCAGAGTTCAAGGGCTTAACTGCATCAATTAAAGTCTAGGGGCTTAATAGCGATTCTGGGGTTAGTTCAGGGGCTTAACTTATGTTTTTGCCAAAAATTTAACCAGAAAAGAGGAGTGGGAAGCTTTGTTAAACCATAGTGATCTTTTTACAGTTATATCCAAAAATTAATCACTTGACAGATACTTAGATCTCGTAGAGTAAATCAAGCATTGTAAATTTATTTTTAATCAAAGTTCAATTTCTGGGTTTGGGCTTAAAACCACGGCTTATGGGCTGGGAGGGTGCACCTTTGAGGTTCTGGACCGAGTGGTCCGGGCAGTTGTAGTCGTGGACTGCAGAGAAGTAATAGGTTAATTAATATTTGCCAATTCAAGGGTCCTCAGTTGTGGGGTTTCCAATATATATATATATATTTTTTTGTTTAGTTAAATTATTTATTTGCCATTTTAATTTAAAGAGACACGTATATTTTCAACTTTACCTTTATCACTTGAATTGAATAATTAAATAAGTAATTTAACGAAATAATGAGGAGGATATTGGTGGCTTTATAGTTTATAACTAGTTTTTTCTTTTACCCGGGCGTTGCAAGGATTATTTTTTAGTTCTTCGGGCTAGAGTTTAAAATTTTTAGTATATTTTACTAATTTTTAAAATTTAAAGAAAATAAAAATTTAAGACATCTTGCTATTAAACTCGGTTATGCCTTTATCTTTGAATGAGACAAAAATAGTAATATTAAATAATAATAATAATAACAGCACATTTATTTTTAATTTTTAATTTTTAATTCACTTTAATCTTTTACATATTAGCTTATTTATAATATAGAGAAAAATCATATTCAATTTATTGATAAATTGTTTTAGTTTCTTTTGTTTATTATTATTTTTGAAATTAATATTGAAATAATACAACAATTATCATTTATATGTTACATTATTAATTAGCTGCTTTTTGATCTTCTATTATAAACTATTGTATAATAATTTTAATTGTGGTTAAATTTTTTATTATTTAAATAGATCAAATTGAATTTTTATATATTTACGAACTTTTACTTTCATGCTCTCATATACCTATTTTCCTTTAATTTATCAACGTAAGATTTTTAGTGTGAAAGAAAGGTGAAATAAAAGTTATGTAACTTTGAAACTATAAAGGTAAATTTGGATTATTTAGGGTCTTCAATATTACAAAAATAATTA